AAATGGAATCCACTTGCCTAAGAAGAGAACCAGAACACGATATGAAAGAAGCACAGATCAGGGTTAAATAATGAGCAACCAAGAACAGAAATATAATCCAGCAACAGCCAAGAAGAAGCAGAAAAACGAGCAGATATGGGTCAAAAATATTGATCTTTTACCAAGGGAACAAAGGGGACTGTCACCAGCTTAAATCGGGACTAGAGGAGATCCGGTGGCGATGACAAAACAGACAGCAACCAATGCTTGCAACAAACGAACTAAATTAAATAAGAAGCAACCAAACAGACAAATACTAACAAACAAACGAAGACAGGGTGCAGCGATTCCCACACAAGAACCAAAATGAGGGTACAGGGAAAGACAGTAGGGAGACAGCAGAAAATGGTGGGTAGATGTAGGTCGGGGGCCCCTGTTCTTTTGTTTCAATTTTTTTACCCATAAGTGAGAGAAAATATGCATGCAAGAGAGGGTAAGGGTAGGTAAAAAATTTTAAAATGCAATTAATACTCTAATAGTATTATTGAATGCACTGCCAACCGGGGGGGAAAGCAACTCCAAGCAGCTTATTGTAGAAGTCCATTTGAAAGCCAAAAGTCAGATTCCCAAAACATGGGCCCAAACACTCCTTTTTTTCCACAACTTCAGCTTTTCCATTTGTGATGCACGTTTGGGCCCCCAAATGGCATCCGAAACACACCCTTACTCGATTCTTCTTGTGCTCATCTCTTTGATTGGGTTCAAATTCCCATAAACCTATCAAGATCCCTTATTATTCCCTAGATTTCTCCCTCTTTCCTTCACATCCATGAATTTTACCAACTCAATCATTTATTATGGCTTTTGTATCAAGCTGAAAGTATTTCATTTTCTCCTCTTTTTCAAGGTCCCCTCTATATCTCAGGATTGCAATAAAAGAGTTGGATCTCACAAGAATTTGCCATCTATGTAAGATTATGAAACTAATAGTGATAAACCAGAGTTGAGAAAAGCACAAAGAACAAAAAAGCATATGAGACACAAATCTAAACGAGAAAAATTGCAAAACTAATCCCGCCATGCTCTTCCTCTGCCTGGGAGAGGAGGGTCAATGGGTTTTGAGGGAAATTGAAGAACAGTATGAACTATTTTCAAGGATAAAATAGTCTTTTTGTTATATTCAGTGTTTAATAATTATTAAAAAAGAAACAACACATCATACCCTTCTTAAAAAACATACCAAACATGATTCCTGTAATTAGTATTACATTGCCATTGCGTTACAGTGCTCTGCACTACAAGAGTTTGATGGAATTAAACCAAACGGACTTAGTCTTTCTTTACCTCTTCATATTTCCAACTCAACTATTATACATCTTTGCTTGTGCATTTTTTTGCTCATTAACTTCATATTCCCTTTGGAGATGGTTATGCAGGATCAATAAGCTGATTTCTAGTTGTTCTCTTTTGAGCTGGTTTTATAGGATGTTTTCTTAAAAATTTTATCGAGCCAAACAAAGTTAGGGGAGCATAATCTCTCCCCTCATTATAGGGTAAGTCTTCTCATTTCTCCAAGTTCCAACCCTTCTTAACCATTCACATGGTTATTGGTACATTCAAATTCTTCTCTGTTATCAATTTACCAACCAATGCACCACCACTTGACCTCTGATCCTCCTTTTTCTTCCATATCAAGTCAACTTCAATACCACTCCTCCAGATCTTGATGTAAGACCTAATTATTAAGTTGATTTTGATCCTAAATGTAAGATTTATTGATCATATTTATCAATTTGTTTCTAAATTATTCCTATTGATGTTCCATCAACCATAATCAACTAGGAGAGAGAAGAAGGATGGTAAGAAAGATAAGTGTGGTGTTTTGGGGAAAAAATATATCATATCTCTTATAATTAACTAACTTACCTAACTTCTTTAATTGAATTAAATTAGTTAAATATGTTTAGTTAAATAGGTTTTATATTAAGGACCAAAGGAGTATTATTCTTCCGGGATGTTCATGCACCTTCATGGCTTCTTTTTATTTATTTATTTTTTGATCTAATTTCCAATTAACTTCATACCTTGTTGACTTTAAACGGTGCTTTTGTCAATATGCGCGCGTATGGAAGCAATTTGCAGTGTTTAATTTGAATAAATAATACATGATTTTTCCTTTTGTAAATGTTGGAAGAGCTAATAATATATATTTTTTAAAAAAATCATTTTTATCATTACAAAATTTAAATTTTATGAAAATTTATAATAAAAGTATTACATTGCATTATTTATGCAAAAAAAAATTCTATTAATAGTTCAAGTTTGATTACATACTATAAAGAGGATTATCGGAAACCATAAACTATAATAAAAAAAAATAGGTTTAATCTCTAAAATAATACTACTTGCTAATTAATTATTGATATTGATACTGATTCAGGTGCAGAGGTTTGTTAGGTGATTTCCATGCTAGTTATGTCAATAACAAGGAAAAAAAAAACTAGACCGAACCAACCGGTTCAATCGGAAAACCGGTGAACCGGTCTGCAGTCTGGTCCGGTTCAGTAGATAGACCGGAGGCCAATCAAACTAGTTAAAAACTGGTTGAACCGGTCATAATTGGTATAGAACCGGGTAATCCCAGTTCACTGGGTTACCTTGTTTCTTTTTTTAATCTGCCAAAACCCCAAAACAACATCGTTTCAATTAAAAAAAAATTCCTTCTTTTTTCCCTAATTTCCTTTCCCGTCGAATTCCCCCAATTTCCCTCCCCTAAATCTGATTTCTCATTCCTCTGGCTCGCACAGCAACCCGCCTCCCTCCCAAAAACCAAAATTGCCTCCTCCAAAATCCCTGCTCCCTAGCGTCACTGACGGCACGACGGTCTATGGCAGAGCTCCTTCTTCGGTAGAGCTCCAAAATCACAGTCATCGCAAGTCTGATCTCCTGTCTCCCTCAACCTCGTCGCAAGTCCGATCTTCGGTCTCCCTGAACCGTCTGAGCTCGCAAGTCTGAGGGTCTGATCTCCAAAATGGCAGTCATCGCAAGTCATCACAAGTCGCCGCAAGTCTGAGCTCCAAAATCGCAGTCATTGCATGATGTTAGATACTTCTGTTTTGGGTTGGCTGAACAAAGGTTGAAATTTCTGCAAGTTTGAGTTTCAAATTCTCTGCTTGTTTCGTTGCTAGCCGAATAGGGGAATAAGTCGCTGGTTTAGGATGATTACAGGTTGTGTTTATGGAGTGAGCTTGTTGGATTGCATGTTGTTTATTTTTCTTAGTGCGGTATACTGATGCTAGCCAAGAGTAACCAAAGTTGGGAACTGTAATTTTGGCTTTCCATTGCATTGGTGTTGGGTTGGTTGGTTTTAGAAACAAGATATACGTAAATAAATATATAAGCTTGAATGGCGCTTATTTTGCTTTCTATGATTAGTGAGGCTAGTTCTGAAAATGTATTTTGAATCTAGAAAATTTCTATATTTGTTGTATATGAGCATTTGGAGCGTTCGGGTTTTATATATGCGTAGATATATATTTGAATATATATGTTTGGTTCATGGGACTCGAATTCATGGAGATAAGAGGGAAGAATTGAACTAATATATTATATTGAGTTTAACTTGGGGGTCTTGAATGTTGAACAATTAAATTAATTGATTAGATCTATATTCTTGAAGGGATCGGAGAAGCTTGGAGTTGATGAATTGAAAGGAGGGTCCTAGATAATTTAAATTTTTAAGTTATATGCGATTTTAAGTTTAAAGGATAGGCTTGAATTGATTTTTAAAGTTGGGACTAATTTCTTCCAGGTTATGAAAGGTAGAGGAGTTTATTTAAATTTATTGTTGAAATGTGCTTGAGGTTACCAACCAATGGATAGGAATTTTAAATGATTAGAGGATATGCTGGCATAGATTAAAGTTTGTATAAGGAGATTATAAGGCTATGGGAGAATGTATGCATGTGTAGGAGGTTGAGTGCTAACAGAATTGAAAGTCTGAAAATTTTAATATGGAAGTAAATCTGAAAGCTATTTTAGAACCCACAAGAAGGATAGTTTGAATTAATGTGGAGAATTAAAAATGTGTTTGCTTGGTACTATTAAACATTTAAACTATTTTTGTAGCTTCTCATCTTTTTTTATAGTGATTCTTATTTATAAATTTTTTTTATTTTAATATTGTGAATTAAATTATATTATTTTAATATGACCGGTCTGACTCAGGTTCAACCAGTAACCCTTGACCCACTGTCTCGACCGGTTTAATGCCCCATCCGATTTTTTGTTCCTTGGTCAATAACGTTAACAATGGGATTGATTAACAACAGTTCCAATTGTCCCAGTTATTATGACAAGAATTAATTTGACATTTAATTTAATTCTAAATATAAGATTTTAATATACTTTAGGTCTTTATCTCTTATATTTATCTATTTTTTAAAGATAGTCTTTATAATAGTTGTACATGTTAAATATTTTATCAAATGATAGTTCTTAATAATACACATTATTAGTAAGGATATTTCATAAAAAACAGCACCTATTTACTACCTCCGGTCCTTAATATAAAATCCTATTTGATTTTTATTTTGATTCTAAATATAAGACCATAATCCACTTTGTCTCTCACATTTATACATTTTTTCCAAAGTAACCCTTCTAACAATAATAGTTCTAATTAATATACTTGATTTAGCAAGGATATTTTAGGAAAGACAACACCTATTTAGGACAAATAACTAACTCAACTTACTTTCTTAATCACCTCAAATTAGTTAACTAGCTCTTATAATTAAGACCGGAGGTAGTATTATAAATAACTAATTAACTAATTTTTTTAATCTATTCAAATAATTCATCTACCGGTTATATTAAAAAGTTCTATATGTCTGCTTGTGTGTTTGGATTTGGAAGTAAACGATCAAAATTTTTAGTTTATGTTCTCAAAGAAAAGCTTGTTCCATGACAACGTTTGAGTGAGGTAGATGCCTTGGATTCTCCTCTAGGTGTCGCAGAAACGGTGAACTGACTGGGGGAGGCTGAACCTGAATTCTGTGCTGAGATGAGCTTCCTTTTTTTTTTTGTTTCTTTTTTTTGACCATATAAGATGATATTTTCATTAATGTAGAGAGCCAGGACATACAAGGCCCCGTGGATGGAATTCGTTATTCTCTGTAACGAGTTGTGTACAAAGTTGAACCCACGTGAACGATTTTAAATGGAGCATCTTGGTAAACGTGTTTGGAAGTGTAGTATTTAGAGTATTTTTGTTTACCCAGGTAAACAAGAGCCAACTGAAATCTCTCTGATTTTCTCAGGAAATCAAGCACGACGCAGGCACCCTATGTCTTCCGATTTAGGTGTAATTTCAAACTCTTTCAACCCCTTTCCTCCATAATCTTTTAGTCTAAATCATTCGTATCATATGAATTTTTTGATTCACAGATGAGTGCCGGGAACACCTGCTAGTGGTAGATGTGAATGGTCAGACTCAGATTGACGAGCCTCCCAAATTTCGGATTCGAAATCTCACCAAAGTCTCCGATGCCGGAGTTCCGATTCTCAAGGGCGTTGACTTGGACGTTCCCAAGGGCGTGATACTCGGCGTCGTTGGACCCAGTGGTAGCGGCAAATCGACGCTTCTCAGGGCCTTCAACCGTCTCTGGGAGCCTCCCTCCGGCACCGTCTTCCTCGATAATAACGATATCTGCGATCTCGATGTTCTGTCCCTCCGCCGTAATGTCGGCATGCTCTTTCAGCTCCCTGCCCTCTTCGAAGGTGCGTCCTTCCTCCTTTTCCCCCTTTTTATGCTATTTTTTTAGTCAAATTCAAATTGGAGGCCTCCGATTTGAGAAGGAAGTTCTGTTATCTGTCTGTGAAATCTGCAAATTCATTAGCGTCAGAGCTACATGATATGATTAGCCATCTAGGATTGTATAGACTAAATACATTTCCCCATCAGAACTTCTGTTCCGCTCAATTTAAGATTCTTCTGAGGCGTCAAGGCTGAACTGTTAATTGGTATTTAAAACCGGACCGGACCGGCCGGTTTGGACTGGAAATCGGCGACCCGGTCAAGTGTCCGGTCCGGTCAAGCTTTTGAGCCGGGAAACAAGCAGCTCGGGATCACTCGGCATTAACCGCTGGTTTGCACGGGTTGCAAGGTTCTTTTTTCTGCTGCTCCCAGATGCTAAAATATACCAAAGATGCCCTCGGACAAAAAAATAAACCGAAAAAATAAACAGATTTGGAAGAAAGAAGAGGGCAGAAGGTAGAGAAAGATGAAAAAAGAACTAAGAAGGGAAAAAACTCAATCAGTCATTCTCCATTGTTGGACTGGCTTATCATCCTTAGCCATCTTTGAGTCATTCTTCATCTTAGTTGAACGGCGGCCATCATCGGGTTCGGACTTCTCTCTGACTCTTCTTTCTTAAAACACATGGTAGTACTAAAAGTCTGTAATAGGCGGTCTGGTGTGAGCACTTTAATCAACTATGCTTTGCTTCAAAAGTGAATATATCGTAGCCATTCATTTCAAATGAATGGTTATGATTTCTTTACTTCATATAAAAAAGAGATCCAAACCGTCAGGTGTCAGTATCACCCTACCTTTTTTTTTTTGGCCAACAGTATCACATTACTATTACATCCTGTTGTCTCACGCTTTCCAATACAAACTTATTTTTCACTGACACACGTTTTTGCTTCTCAAGATCTGAAGCCATATCAGATGTGTATGTATATATATTACTTTTGTTGCTTATTATTAAATTTTTTAATAAAAATATAAATATTTTCATGCATTTTAATTAAATATATATTATTTTATTTCTGTTTGACTCCGGTTTGACTCTGATCTGACCCACTGACCCTTGACCCACTGTCTTGACCGGTTCAATTGCCGGTCCGGTTTTCAGTACCTTATATACCGTAACAAATCTAAATCGTTGTATCTTTTACTTGGACCTTTTCAATTTATTTATTTTTTAATTTTTTTTACGATTAATAATTAATTTCTTTTAAATATTACAATGAAAAAGTTATTCAGAGAATCACAAAAACAAGCTCAAAATTACCAAATTTCTATAAAAATGTATTGTTAAAACCTATTATAGTATTGGAACTAAATCTGATTTAAGATTTAGGGAGTGTTTGGATAGAAACCAAGGGGGTGTTTGGCAAAACTAAAACCATGGTTTCAGAATCACTTTTCCGCAAAACGAGATAACTTCCTCCACATATTTACTTCGTAATCCGTAAAAGCACTTCTGAAACCATGGTTTGGCTTCTATCCAAACACCCCCCAAATCATGGTTTCATAAGTGCTTTTATGGATTACGAAGTAAATATGTGGAAGAGGTTACCTCGTTTTGCGAAAAAGTACTTCTAAAACACCGGTTTTGAGAATGTCAAACACCCCCTTAGTAATAGGCTTTTTTAAGATTAAAAAAAAAATCAAAGTAGGTACATGTACACACATAAGCTAAACATTCCAATTAAGCGAACATATTTCAAATTATTAATATAAAATAAAATGTAGAGAGCCACAGTATTCATGAGTTAAGAAAACTATGGCTCTTCTTGAGTTTCATGTAACGTTATTACTGCTTTTTTTAAGTTCTCTCTATGCATTTAATGAATTTCTATGCAACTTCTTTAATTTCTTTTAATTTTTCAAACACATTCTCACAAGGTTTCAATGCTTAAAAAAAAAAAACATTTTCCCCTGGAAAAAAAAAAAAAAAAAACTTCTAAGTTGTCATGTACCCTATGCTCACATGAAAAAGAAAAAAAACAATATTCAGTTTGTTATTGAACAAAAATTATGCAGATAATTATGCAGGGATAATTAGCGTGGAGGCGTTGTGTGCGTAATGTGAGATAAATATCAATGTGCAGGCACAGTGGCAGACAATGTGAGGTATGGACCACAACTAAGAGGGAAAAAGCTAACTGATGAAGAAGTACGCAGGTTGCTGATAACAGCAGACCTTGATGCTTCTTTGATGAGCAGGAAGGGCTCTGAACTCTCTGTGGGTCAAGCTCAACGAGTTGCACTTGCCAGGGCTTTAGCTAATTCCCCTGAGGTAAGTGAGTAATAAATAAATGATTTGGATCTTCTGATGCCTTTAGGATGTAGATAAACAGTAAATGATAAAAAAATGGGAAGAAAAAGAGGTGAGCCCCACTTTAATGAGGTTCATGATTGTTAGAAATGGGATGGGATTACCATTCCTTTTGTATTCTTCTTACCCTCTACCGAATCTGTAACTTAAAGCATCTTAATTTGAGGTATAACTGACTGTACAATTTATGATGTGTTTGGTAATATGTTAGTTTTTGTATTAAAAAAAAAAAATGACAATGATTGAGCAATGAATGCATTTATGTATTGGAGGCCTAACTCTGAAGTAGATCATTCAACTTGTCCTTTGTACCCAAAAAAAACAAAACAAAACATATAAGAAAAAGAAAAGAAATTGTGTAAGGATCCTAGTTTGAGGCATCTATGACTCACTGTACAATTCACTGACTCTTGAAAATGATTCATTTATTTATGAAGGGATTTTAACTTTGAAGCATATTATTATCTGAAAAAGGTTTTACTGCTGGATGAGCCAACCAGTGCACTAGATCCAATATCAACAGAGAACATAGAAGGTGCCCTAATGAAGCTGAACAAGAACAGTGGTATGACAGTGATAATTGTCTCTCACAGCATCAAACAGATACAGAGGATAGCTGACTTGGTGTGCCTAGTTGTTGATGGTCAAATAGTTGAAGTTTTAAAGCCTGATCTACTGTCACAAGCCACGCATCCCATGGCCCAAAGGTTTCTTCAACTTAGTTCTTAGGTATGGAATAATATGTGAAATGCTCTGTTATGAATTTATGAGCTCGTGTTCGCTGTTGCAAGCCACTTATAGGAGCCAACATGATCAAATGTTTTGTCAGCTAGGAATCTAATTAGCATCCTTGGGGTCCTCATTCAGATGAGAACTGTACACTTTGGCTGTTTCAGATTTAAATTAAATAATTGTTTGGATTCCATTCATGTCATTCTCCAAATAAAAGAAAATTCTCCCTACATAATTTTTGCGGAGGATGTCATCTAGGGTCCTTAGAAGCAAGATGATCTCATACTGTTAGTTGGCTAGTATACTAAAATGGGGTGAATTGAGTTCTTAAAATTTTCTACACAATAATAAGCGATTACCGTGCAATAGTGGATTATAAAACAGATTAAAAAAAAAAAAAGGTGCAATTGTAGACTGTAGAATAACTTAAAATTTTCTGCACAATAATAAGCGATTACCGTGCAATAGTGGATTATAAAACAGATTAAAAAAAAAAGGTGCAATTGTAGACTGTAGAATAAAAAAAGGGTAAAGAAGAGAGAATCAAACATGATAATTTATCCTGGTTCAGTTCCTCTACTGAAGCTACATCCAATCCCCAAGCTCTTCTCTTGAGAGTTCTCCGCTAATTTCACAAGTTCATTTTGGACATTTGTAAAGCCATAGTACAATCCCCTTGGTCTTTTCACTAGCCTAAGTAATCACACTCTAGCATTTGGAATCTACAAATGCCCTCAAGATTCAGATAGAATAGTTAGTGGCTAGCTCAATGAAGTTTTTGCACTTAATAAGCTTAATGATGCTATCTTGGACTTAAATAACATTTCTATTTATAGTTTTTCCGAGTAAGTAAACATTAGAATCAAATTTTCTAATCATTATTCACATCAACTTGTTGTTAAGTGAGAGCATTTAATGTATCTATCAAAATAAGTAACTACGGCAACCAACAAGTCTAATCTTTTAGTCTAATACAATTAGATAGGTCCTAACTTCTAACTTTCATAGAAGCTCAGCAAATCCATATTTCATAAATAAAGTGCAAGGGTAATCGCTTATTTACTACTAGATTCATTTAATGTTATTTTAAGGAAAGATGAGTAGTCAAGTCAAATAGTTTATCTTAGGCATCTACTGTAATTTTTCAGATTTACCTTTGAAACACAGTAGTAGACGACTACTCATTCACCGAGTGATCACCAAATATTTCTTGAGAGCATTGTTCAAAGATCAGCACTTTGATAGACCGCTAGCTCTTAATAGACAAACAAAAGGAACTTGATACTTGCATCACTCAAGTAAGAAAATTTTCAATGAACTTAACCCTTGGAGGGGGAAAAATCTTTCAAAAATAGTAAAATTGAAGCTTTTTCTCACTGTATTCTCTGTTTTCTATTTTATGCAAGCCACTTATAGAAGTTAAAGATAAAATGAACCTTAATCAAACTTATTTTAGACCTAGCAAGGAAAAAATATAATTCGAAACTAGAATAAAATTTTTTGGCCAAAAAACTAGAATGAATTTGAGAAATTATTATTTTTTATAGAGAGAATTACAATCAAGTCCACAAAAGAAAAATAATTACTAAAAAGTCTCAATAACAACCTCAACCGCCTATGATAACAAGTCTTATAGTAAGAATAACAATCTCTGGGATTTGTTTTTCAATTGTTTTCCTTATTTGGGATCTCATTATAATTCTTTATATATATATATATATATATATTCACTTTTAATGATAATGTGAGAACACTTTCTTCGGATTGTCGAAGTTGATACTCTCCAAATTGGGACTTGCAATTCGAAGAAGAAGATCCACTACCTTTAAAACGTGCTGGGCTTGCCCTGTCAAGTTTTGTAGCCGTTGGATTGTTACAGATTGTGGTTCCGTCCCTTTCGACTATATGTATCACAAATGTATGAGTTTAAAAATCAATGCATGTGGAGAATAGTGTTCAATTGATTTAGTTTCTAGAGAGTTCTGATGAATTTTTTCCTATTTGAATTTATGCATACATTTTTTTTTGGGGGAAATTTCACTCCCTCCAATTTTATATGTAAGCGAATGTTCCTTAAAATTAGTTGCTAATATCTATAGAATAAACTTATAACATTTTTGAAATTTTTAATATTATTTTTTTACTTTTACCACCTTAATTATTAGTTTGTCTCACGATATTAATACTATTTGCATGCTTTTTGATTTTTCTTCTCCATAAATTCTCTCTAAATGAGAGTTAGATCCAACCTCATTAATAAGAGTGAGCAAAACTAAACCAAAGCTGAAAATAGAACCAAATTCAATTTGATTTTTTTTAATTTATTTATTTAGTTTTCATGTCCAGTTCAATGTGTTTGAAAATTTTTTGGTTAAAATTAAAAAACTGAATTGAAGCCAAAACGCTATTATATTATTTCAAGTGGATAAAATTACAGTCAATTTGAATATTTAAATAATTTAGCTATAAAGTACCTAAATAAAACCTACAGGAGTGATGATTAACGATTCACAAAATCACATTCTCCTTTAAATATCTATTAGAATCAAATTTTATAAATATTAGAGACCAGATTTTTCCAGATTCATTACATAACTTTTCATGTTTAACCTTTTTCTTAACTTGGAAAGATAAAAATAGAGAATTAAATACTTTTAAGAATTGAACTATTAAAAATATAAATTAAAGGTAAAAATAAAGTCAAATATAACTAAAAATTTGGGTATATTTCAGTCCAAAAATCAAACAAAAAAATGAAAAGCCAAATCCAAATATTTCAAATGCTTCAGTTCGGTTATCCCCCCCCCCCCCCTCTTTTTTAATTATACATAATTCAGTATATCAGTTCTTTCGGTTGTTACTGAAACCCGAACCAAAATGCTCACTCCGCTAAGCCCAAAATACTACGTCCCATTTTTAATAAAAAAACAATTAGTTTGATATTCAATTTGGTCTTAAAAATAAAGTTTTAATTCATTTTATCTCTTATATTTATCTATTTTTTAAGTAATTCTTGAAGTAATTACACATATTAAAAGTTTAATCAAATAGTAGTTCTAACTAATACACATGATTAGTAAGAATATTTTAGGAAAGTAACACATATTTATTATAAATAACTAACTTAACAAACTTCTTCAATTTACTCAAATTAGTCAATTAACTCTTAAATTAAAGATGGGATGTAGCATTTTATAGATATTATTTTAAATTTATATTAACATAATCGATTTTAGAGAAAATTAATTTCGCAATCCTTTTAGTTTTATTAGATTTTGAATCAGGTCCTTTTACTTTTATTTCTTTTTATCGGAGCCCTATAATTTACTGAATTAATGAAATTAATCCTTCCGTTGATGATTTTCCCACATGCCGTTAAGTATGATGACACAAGATGATGTGGCATGCAAGAGGTTAGAGATTCACAAAAAATGCATGCTTTCTCTCTCTCCCACCTCTTCGATCTCCATCACACCGCTTGCTCCTCCCACGTTTTAGGCCTCCCGCTTTGCTCTCTATGAAAAATACGATTGGGGTATACACTCACTTTGCACGGAGCTTCTTGTTCTCTTCCATCTAATTCATGGTATCTTGGTCGACCCTTGACTTGCAGTAGTTACCGACGCAGTGCTTAGAAAACTGGAAAACATGAGCGAATTTAGCAATTATACACAACAGGATGGTTTCAAAATAACAATATATGAGCAAGGCAATTAAGCAAATTAATACTACCTCCGATTCTTAATATAAGATATTATTTGATTTTTTTTTTAATCTTAAATATAAGACCCCAATCTACTTTACCTCTTATATTTATGTTTTTTTTAAGGCAGTCCTTCTAACAATGGTAGTTCTAACGAATACACTTGATCAGCAAAGATGTTTTAGAAAAGATAACACTTATTTATTACAAATAACTAATTTAACTTCATTTTTTAATCTCTTCAAATTAGTCAACTAGTTTTTATAATTAGGGCTGGAAGTAATACAATGAATTGGTATTTCAATCTCAAAGACGCTACTTTAAAATATAAGAAAAGAGTCTATTTCTTATGCGTTGTGTAATGATTGCAATAAGCCCAAAAAAAAAAAAACAAAAACAAAAGGCTTACCAATGGCTCTTCTGTTTTCACTAGGTACTCAACTCTTTGTTTTCTAGCAAGAGAGGCACACACAAGGCTTACCCAAATACAAGGAATAACAATTGGAGAGATAAGAGGAGTAGACGGAGGACGTGGGGTAGACTGGCGGAAACTGGAGAGGACAAGCGGTGCTATGATAATGAGAAGTAGAATTCGTTTACAAAAGGAGCCCCGAAAGATGAGAGAGAGCTTGGCAAGGTAGAGAAAGCAAATATTATTTGTCCATGTGCACCCTCCTCGACGCTGGGTCATCTTTTGTCATTAATGCGTAACGGAGAGCAGCAAAAGTATTAACGGAAGGATTGATTTATCTGACTCAACAAACTAGAAGGATTTAATAAAAAGAAATAAAAATATAAGAACCTGATTCAAAATTTTTAATAAAACTATAAAGGCTGTTAGATTAATTTTCCTTGATTTTATGATATAGCTTTTCTAAATATATCATGTAATAAATTAATTTATTATTATGAGAACTTTTTAAGAATTCAATATTTTACTTATATTTAAAATTTTAATTTGATTTCTTAATTTAATACTCATTTAGTTCTTAATATAAGATTTATTTAACTAATTTAATTAGATTAAAAAAGTTATGTGAGCTAATTAATTATAAGAAATATTACATATTTTTCCTAAAATACCATAATCATCTTCTCTAATATTTTTTCTTTCTTTTTTATTTGATTATGATTGAGGAAGTATCTATGAGAATAATTTTAAAAAATTAATAAATATAAAGATTAAAATTAACTTAACCAGATTTTATTTCAACAACGCATAGAGTACGTACGTAAAACATATCGACGGAGAAATAAATGCGAGGCGTCACATGAAGGAGAGGGAAAACCGACCTGAACAAATTAACAACTTTACGATTTAATCGTAATATCTTTCTATCCACTCCTCACAGTCGCAGTTGATTGGTTCCAATTTCTAACGCCCCCCTCCACCTGAATGCCGAATTTACCACCATGAACATCATCAATCCACTGTCTTCTTCTCGATTCTTTTGCCTGTGACCCTCCCCCTTGTCATTCTCATGTGAATTCAGTCTTTGGATCTTCTTCCTCTTCTCTGTAAATGGCTGATGTTATTCGATTACGGTATCGGCCGCTTCGATTCTCTTCTCTCTTCCCTTCTTTTCCTTCGTCTTTCAGAAATTCACCTCCTGTTCAGTGCTCAACTAAGAGGGTTTTCCCTGTTTCGTATTCTTCTATCTCTGCTGGTCTTGCCTCACTTGCTTTTACACCCAGAAAGCGGTTGCTCTCCTTCAAGGTGATTTTTTTTATTGTTTTATTTTGCGCTTCTTTGCTTTATCTTTCTTTGTCCCTTTTTAGGTTCTTAATTTGTGATTTATCTATCCCCTAAACGGAGGTGTTCTTGGAATCAAGTAATTCTATGATAACACTTTGTATTAAAGTATTTTTTTAGCACTCATTCGCCTATCTCGTTGACGTATGGATGCGGGTTCTACACCGAAATTCTTGGATTTGTGTTGGCCAAGTGTGACCTCCGTCTCACTGAGTGAAGTAAGGACCACCAGTTTTCGACTCTGGGGTGACATATTGCTATTCGGGTTTCTTATTGTAATATTAGAGCTGCAATTATGGTTGCATATTGCAACTTAAGCCGTTAGAGTCATGTGCGCATTTGGATGATTATTCTCACAATTAAGCGCAGCAGTTGTTTAATGTATTGTTCCAATGATTTAATTAACGGGGGGAAATATAACCTTAAATTATGGGGTGTTTTATGTGACCTTTTTGCTTTAGATTCAGCTGTTAGCCAGAGTAATGTTCAAAACAGTTCCTGAGGCAAGGCTTGTCAGGGCTTTTATATGTTTTATGTTCTCTCTTGGTTTTCATGCTATACAGTAAGCTGAACTCAATTATGTGTCTGTGGAGATCACCACTGAAATATGCAGTAAGTTGAACTCAACTGCGCCATAGTCATTCTCAATTGATCTTTGACACAGATGAGTTTAAAATTCCTGCCCTTAATGCATCATTGAGGAATTGTAGATTTTAAGTCCATTTGCTACTTTTTGGGAGGCTGCTTCCTTCAAATCGAGATTTGTCCGCACTTGCTTCATCCATGCTATTTAGTTGTCCTCATGAAGGAAGCCTCTTGAAATGGCTTATTGGAACATTTAAACTTGTAAACCAATGATAATGATAATTGCCTTTAGTTTTCTGACCATGCTTTGCCTTTTGCTGATCAAGAATTTGTAAGTTATTTAAGTTGATTGTCTTGGAAAATATTCCAGAGGAACCCTTTACTAGTGTAGACAAATGAATGCAAGTTCATACTTGGGGAAACCTGTTCATAAAAAACTTGTGTCTAAAGTGAACAGCTGAATATAGCTTTGATTGGGTTTTCTAAATCGTCAGTCTAATTTTTTTCGTACAATTTTTGAGTCAAATCTATCATCTATGGGTTACTTTATGCCCATTGTCCATTTCTAACAGCTTCTGTTGGGTTTTCTAAATCGTCAGTCTAATTTTTTTCCTACAATTTTTGAGTCAAATCTATCATCTATGGGTCACGTTATGCCCATTATCCATTTCTAACAGCTTCTGTTGTTGTTTGTGTACGCACTTCATTTCAGGTATCTGCAACTGTTGCTGAAACTAATCAGCCAAAATGGTGGGAAAAGAATGCACCAAATATGATTGACATTCACTCCACTCAAGAATTTGTAGATGCTTTAAGTCAAGCTGGAGATAGACTAGTCATTGTTGAATTTTATGGCACTTGGTGTGCATCTTGTCGAGCATTATACCCCAAGGTATATCTCTTACTAGTTCTGCTCCTGTCATTGTAGCTTTTAGTTTCTGGAGAATAGTTATTTATTTACTCCTTTGGTCTTTAATGTAAGACCAAACTAACTAATTTGAGTAGACTAAGGATGTTAGTTAAATTAGTTAATATGATATGTTTTTTCAAAAACCCTAATCATCTTTCTTAATTCTTTTCCTCCTTCTCCTACTTGATTATTGTTAAGAGAATATCAATTGGATTATTTTGGAAAAAAATTGATAAACATGTGAAACAGGTCTTATATATAGGACCAGCATTAACCCTTAAACTAGGTCCTACATTAAGGACCATTACATTTGTTTGCACCTTTGTTGATAACTTGTTCTAAAGAATGTAAATGATTCAATTATCATCCATCTAATCCTGATTATCCAAACAAAAAAATATAATGATTATATTGCCTTATGTTTTGGTTAATTATTAGTGAGTGAAATCCCGACTGCTGTGGATATCCTATAAGGATTCTTAATAATTGATTTTCCATACTTGTAATTGTAATTGTATTATTTTTGCCAGCATTGCTTAAAATGAATTAGATTATAGAGTTCATGCTGATATGATAGTGGCTGGGCAACTTTGTTGATACAGCCTGTAGGTATACCATAGATGTTCTCATTGTGATTTTGATATTGCTTTAGGTTACTTCCATAGAGCTTTTTCCCTTCTGTGAAAAATTGTTATTCAGGAAAAGGGATTTGTAACACATGAGAATGCTCTAGTAAAATGTCAATTAAAAATTTTATGGGTGCCATAGTAGATTTCGGGGATGGTGCTCATCTGCAAGTATAATTCCTATCCTCGCAAATAGAAGTCTTTGAATAATATAATGCATCTATTGAAGATGTGATTGCATGGAAATCCATTGAATTCGCCCGTGAAGCTTCTGACGTGTCCTACTTATTTATGACTAGAGACTACTTTAAGAAAATATAACTCTTGACTCAAATGTTTCTTTTTGCTGTCTTAATTATTGACGGAGCAGCTAAGTTTATCTACCTGCTGCTTAAATCATATTACAGCTGTTTTTGATCTTGATATTTTCTTTAATGGATCTGGCAGCTCTGCAGAACAGCTGAAGAACATCCGGAAATTGTCTTCCTAAAAGTAAATTTTGATGAGAACAAGCCAATGTGTAAGAGTATGAATGTGAAAGTACTTCCTTACTTCCAATTTTATCGAGGTGCTGATGGGCAGCTGGAGTCGTTTTCATGTTCACTTGCCAAGGTAATTCTTCTAACCTGTCTTTTAATGATAGAAGAAATATTATTGGAGAGATGAAACAAAAAGGTGTAAGAGGCAGATAAGTTTAACTCATTGGTGTAATACTGTTTCTTGCGTGAGAAATACCATGTAAATCCAACTATCCAATCCCAATTATTATTTGTGTGAGAATTCCTTGAACAAGCCATTGTTAGTGCCCTATAGGGAGCTCTAAAGTGAAGCTGTGAAGACTAGCATATTCCATAAGAACTTTAGGAACTAAGAAGCATTCCTAAATAAAATATGAGAATTTCTACTTCTGTCCTTGTCAACTGGAATTGTGCTGAACCAAAGTGACTGATCGAAGATATACTAAAGCCAGTAATCAGATTCTTCCACATAGTTGTGGCTGCTGAACGCTGTAAAATAGCTAGAATGTTGTTCTTGCTGTCCGAATAGAAGACTTCGATTTTCCTTTTCTTCTTCTTTTTTTTTAATTTAACATAATTTAATCGCGCACACACAAACATGTAAACTCTGGACTCGAACCCGGGACCTTGTCCAAGCATGGCGGATGGCGTTGCCAAGGAGGAGCTTACAAAGGAGGAAATTCATATGATCAAAAATTAAGTATGCAACTGGAAAAGGGAAGTAATTATTTGAAAGAATACATAACAGGAGAATTACGAGTCCAAACTCTGTTATCCAGTGTAGATAACTACTGAAATGGTCTAATAAGTGTGAAAAAAAGGCAAGCAATTCAGAAGCGTCTCCAAAATTCTTTTTCCAGAGGACAGAAGTACGTTTCAATGTCATCAGCAAGCTAGAAAAAGTTGTGGGTGGAAGCATCACGCAAAGAAAGTTATACAAATGAAAACTCTGATGATTTAGTTCTGCTTATGCTCATTAACTCAGTCTCAAAGTAAAATATGAGCGGCAACCATTGGTTCTTGTGCTGGGCCCCAAATTATGGTCCATCCAGATCCAGATGGAATAAAGAAACAGTTATTTTGGCATCCTACTGTGACTGTTGAAACTTATCTTTCCTTCTTGCCGGAAAATAGTATACAATTTGAAGAGAATGAGATGCAATACACGTTGGTTAATATTGCATTTTTGCACTCTGCAGTCTGCATCTATCGCTAGAGAATGTATTGTATTTTGTTTATTTTTTATTTTAATATTTTCTCTCTCGGGCAACAAGAGATTGTGAGGGCTGTAATCTGAAAAGAGTAACTGGTAAGATTCTCTCTCAGTGTGCTTGGCCGGCTGAACTCAGAAAAGGGATGAGCAAACGCAAGAAAACATAGGATCACTTATACGGCTATGCCTTTTTCTAGTTAATGATCATACTCGCCTTTGAGAAAACACACAAATATTTGTGACACTGAATATTGAATTGAATAGTGGTTAGATATATTATTATGTATTGAAGTTAAGTTACTTGCAATGTAGTGATCCATATCTGTTCATTGGATGATCAGCTTCTGGTTCTCTTGGAATTTTCTTTTTCAGTTTCAAAAAATAAAGGATGCCATTGAGATGCATAATACAGCTCGATGCAGCATTGGTCCACCTAAAGGAATTGGCGATCTGAAAATTGAACCTCCCTTTGCTCCGAAGGATACGTCAGCTGAATCAACCAAAGAATAGCATCAACGAATTGCGGTGAATTGTGTGACCCCCTTGTTGTTGCACAAGGAGAAACCCCAGAAAAAAGTTGCGCCCCACAGAAACTTAAGTAATGAAAGATACCTTCTCTATTCTGTATATTTACTTTCTTTTTATTTATTAGGAGTTATTATTCCGATCCATTCTTTATCAAATGATGATTGATTGTAATCCACATGGTTGAAAACTAGTGAACTTTTGGGGTTTTTTGTTTAGTATTTTATTTCAAAATGTATTCAACTGTGAACTAAGCGCAGCAGTACTTGCTCTGGCTTAGTTCTTCGGTTCTGCTGAACCTGACATGCAAATAGTATGGCAGAGTTATGAGATTTCCAGGTGTTTTCTTGGTTGGCACTGGGTCTGGCAAATCTGCGAGTCAGAAGAAATGACACACAATAAATAGATGTATGCATATGCATATATAATCTATACATGGATATGTATATGCGTGTTTTAGTTGATGGTTTTCTTGTGTTGGTATAGGGAAAAGTTCTTTGAAAGAAAGGAAAGGTAAGGGACACCATGTTTTTTATTGTGCTCGCTCAATGGTAAGGCATTTTATTGGAATGAGAAGGTGCTTATGAACATGGGAAAGATCTTTCTCATTTGCTTTCCTACGTCATACCACATATGCTCTGAGCATAAAATAGAACATTGGTAATAAAAATAAAAAATAAAGATAATTTCCCTCTTTAGTCAATTTTCACGGGCTCGCACGTATATATGTACTGTCAGCCTGAGGAGGAAATAGTGACTGTTTACCTTAGAAGATGATGAATCTTAATAATAAACCATTCAATTCACCTATTATTTTGCTCGTAACTGATCTAAAAATTTAAGTTACAGAATACATCATAAACAAAAATTAGTGGAGTGCATGCCTTTAAAATTTGACAAACAAAATATATTTATTGCTCACAGTTGAATTGGAAGCCATATGATGAAGAGAGAGTGAGTCATGCGATGCAACGACACATGAAGACATGCATGATACAACCTTCTCATTAGAATGTGATTAGCAAAATGAAATTGGACAGAGAGATCCGCAACTGTTGGGTTCGTTGAAGAAGTTATAACCTCGTCTCTGAGATATCATGGCTTCAATAATCACAAGGCTAAATTCTCAGAGGAAGACTTTTCTTTCTTTCTCTTTCTGCCAATCAAAGGTCTACCAAATAGGGATTCTGCAGAAACAGAGGAAAAGAAAATCATGACCACTTATGGAACAATCCCATCATCATCATCATCAGAACCCTCAAAAAGAGTGTTAGTTTCAAGGGCTAAAGAACGCATCCAAACAGGTCTTGGCACAAGAAGACCATGGAATGAAATGATCCAACTTGATCATTTCAGATTCCCTTCCTCTCTTTTCCAATCCCTCCAAAGAATCAACACCAACACCGATTTGTTTCGGGCTAATTATGTGATTATCATACTCTTCATTCTCTTCCTCAGTTTGCTGTGGCACCCCATCTCACTTATCATTTTAATTCTCATGATGGCTGCTTGGCTCTTCTTGTATTTCCTACGAGATGACCCTTTGATCCTTTTCGGCTACGAGATCGATGAGCGATTTGTGGCTTCATTTTTGCTGTTAGCTACAATTGGAATGCTTTTTCTTACCAACGTAACGAATAATGTCATTGTTGGTATCTCTGTGGGATTAGGGTTTGCATTGGTTCATGCAGTGATGAGAGATACAGAAGAAGGCTTTTCTGGGAATGGAGGAGAAGAAGAAGAAGGTCGTGTTGTTTCGTCAGATCCTCGAGACCTTGTTAAGCTTCCTGCTTCAACTTCTCTTGCTTCTTCATAGTACGTAATGTGGGGATTCTTTTTCACGTTCTCTTCTCCATCCATTCATTAGCCAAAGAAATTGAATGATTCTCATGTATCTGACTCACAAGTTCACTTGTAATTTTGTTGATTAACGAAAGTTTTGATGAGTTGGATAGCAAGCAAGAATTGATCATGATCATTAGAATGGAAATCACAATTCACAATTCACAGAATACACTTCATTTTGATAGTTGGAAGTTGAACAGGCCAGATGGTTGATAATTCTAACGATTTCTTGAAGTGTAAGATGAAGATATCTCCTATGTCATCCTTAATATGTAAAATTATATCAGCATAATTTCTATTGTTTTAGATGAACAATTTGAAGACTTATTGGTTCTAACAAATCACTGTACAGCTAATTGTTCTCACCTTTCAATTCCTACAAATGTTTTACAGACATCAGTGTAATTTTTGTTGATCACTTGTGCTTCTTTTTGGTTAACAATATATGTAAACATTTAGTTGCTGATAGAGCATATGATACTGTGTTATTCATGGAACTGACCTCATCTAATAGGATAATGCTTGTTGCTGCTGCTGCTGCTGTTCCTACGTTTCTTTCTTGCTTTGGAGATAACATGAGGTGACAAACGACACGTGAAGATTACATGATTATAAGATAAAAACCACAAGTAGGCCATACGTATTACCAGCAAATATTGGTGGAAAATTGGAAGATTAAGAATTCCAAAATTATTGTGCTTTCTTAGCGGTGAAGATCCCTACGTCAGTAAAGAAACTCAAACATAAAGCTCTTGTGGGAAATGGGACTGATCTTTACCGGACCAACTTTTGTTGATCATTTTTGTGCTTCTTTCTTGCTTTTGACATTAGATGAGCATCAGATAAAAATCACAAGTAACCCATACATAGCACCAGCAAAAATAGGTGGAAAATTAAAAGATTCCAAACATTATTGCAGCAGACATTTCTATGCATGTTTTAGAGACTTTTTTACGTCACTTTTAGGGAAACGTAAACTCAGGTAATGTAGTAAGGTTATCCACGTTTGTTTTAAAAAAAATGTGCACAAGACTTTTCACATTTGTTCAGTTAAATATAATAATAGATGTAGAAAAGTCTTTCTACAACTGTTCCCAATGTAGAAACACTTTCCCTACGATAGAATTTAAAAAATGCCACTAATTTTAGCTTCTACATTTGGGTTTAGTAGAACAAACGACGTATAGTGACTTGAAATGTATTTCTTATAAGGGAGAATTACAATCAAGTCTCACAGAAAAGAAATAATTACTAAAAGGTCCCAATAACAATCTAAACAGCCTGTAATGACAAGTCATTATTGGAGAATAAAAACCTCTGGGACTTGTTTTGTTATTTTTTTCCTTCTATGAGACTTGATTGTAATCCTCCCTTCTTATAATAGTGATAGCATTTTGCATTGTTCATGTACTAAAATTATTGTGCTTGCTTAGAGGTGAAGTAAAAGTGCTGTCCTACACTACAAATTGGCACTTGCTACATGGTAAAAGCAAGTCTCTGAAGATAATCAAAAGCAATTTCGGCATAAAAGGGGAAAAAAATGCCATCAATTTTTTTTTTGTTCATGCTGACACATCTTTACCACTTAGTCCCCTGTTCAACAAAGCCATCAATTTTCTTTATAACCTGAGTTGCTTCAGTGACTAGGAAAAAGAAAATACTTTTTGTTAAGTGCCTCTCACTCTGGATGAAGATTCTTAGCTAAGGAAAGTGGGGTTTCTTTATTCTTCACATACAGCTTGTAAATCCATTTTGGATATATAAGAAGAAAAAGAAAGTGTTCCGTTATGATAAGAATAATGAACTCAGTGCTCAAACTTTATCCACAAAACAATGGTGGAATTTATTTGACAATAGTGATTTCGATAAACACAAGTTATCATACTCCACAAGTTGCTTATGGCTTGGAAATATATGGATGGGTCTATTTTTTTTTTTCCCTGTACAAATATCAAAGTGGGTATATAACCTGAGTTGCTTCAATGACTAGGAAAAAGAAAATACTTTTTGTTAACTGCCTCTCACTCTGAATGAAGATTCTTAGCTAAGAAAAGTGGGGTTTCTTTATTCTTCACATACAGCTTCTGAATTCATTTTGGATATATAAGAAGAAGAAAAAAGTATTTCGTTATGATAAGAATAATGAACTCAGTGCTCAAACTTTATCCACAAAACAATGGTGGAATTTATTTGACAATAGTGATTCCGATAAACACAAGTTATCATACTCCACAAGTTGCTTATGGCTTGGAAATCTATGGATGGGTCTTCTTTTTTTTTTTTTTCTTGTATAAATATCAAAGTGGATATGAGAGATATTTTTAGGGGGTGTTTGGATGAAAACCAAACCATGATTTCAAAAGTGTTTTTATGGTTTACGAAATAAATATGTGGAGGAATTTGTCTCGTTTCGCGGAAAAGTGCTTCTAAAAAACACTTTTGATGATTGTCAAACATCCCTTAATAATTTTGAAATAATTTTAAGAGTTTTGTCGTTGTCAATGACTTTATGGCTATGAACCTCATTCTTGCTGGTCAAAGATGTCAAGTTTGAATTTTTTTTTTGAATATAAAGTTTGATTTTACTTGTTACTTAAAATAAAGGGAAAGCAAGAGTATTGCTGCTTATTTGCCTTTTGATGTTGACTCACAATGTTATATCAAATGCTTCCTAAAGAAGCATGGAAAAGGATGCGAAAAAAAGGTTTAACAAAAAATATATTGAAAAGAACAAAAGGTACCATCCCTTCTCTGCCTTTTTCCTTATTAATCTGTTGCAGCACTGTCGTTAAAATATGAATATAAAGATGAGAAAGTGACATTGAGATTGGAAGGAAAGAATACAATTATAAAAAAATTCAAAATGAATTTTTATTATAATTTCTTGCAAAGAGCTATCATATGATAGAGGTAGGCACTCTTATTGTTTAATAATTAATATTTTGTCTTTGACATTGCTGCCCCAACTCATTTTTCTTCTCATTATTTTTTTTTAATTTATTGATCCGTAGATGACATGAAAAGTATATTAAATGTCTGTCATATGGTCAACCCTGCAGACCTAAATGTGTATTCTTGACCTTTGACATGTCAGAAGCTTCGTGTAAATTTCGTGTTCCTGTAAATTTCGTGTTGGTCCCTGTTTATATATTAATGCATTTGGACATTAACATATGAACTTACTCTTCATTTCCATAATATAATATAATATAAGGCTTAGGTTAATCATTTTCACATACTAGGAAATGAAATGAAAGTTTAATAATTAAATATGTCTTAAAATGATAAAATTTTTCTATTTTATCCCTAAAAAAATAATGAAGTTGTTTTTAATGTTACATTTTTATTATCTCTCATTTCTCTTCTATATTTAATAGGGATAAAAGTGAAAAAATCACATTAATTATCCTAATAACGTCTTATATTTTGGACCATAATTTTCTTTTAACCAATGTCTTATATTATAGACATGAGGGAGTATCTATATAAGATTCACACTACCTCCTCTTCTTCTTAATATAAGAGTTGAATTACTAATTTGTAAATATTAAAAAATTAGTTAAGTTAATTATTTATAATAGATCAATATCGTTTTTCCTAAAATATCTTTATGATTCATTTACATTTGAATGACCCCTTGCTAATAACTCCTTAACATATAGTATCACTAGGGATTATATTTAAGAGCAAAATGAATAAATATTAGAAATAAAATAGATTGAAATCTTATATTTAAGATGAAATTGAATCTCTAACTAGTTTTTATATGTAGTATAATTGTACTTGTTGTTTCCCCTTCTTTAAAATTTCCATTCACTAATTCATCCGAGCGATGCTTTTCTCCTATATGCTTCATCTGCTTTGCATCAAAGGGCCCTTTGATTTAGTTTTAAATGTATACCGGGGAACGATATATTTTTTTTTTACCACACCAAATTTCAATTTAGTTTTAGATGCAAATATTAAAACTTGGTTTTGACCACAGCAAAAGTTTATATCTTGTTCTGATGACAAGCATTTAATACAGTTTTTTTTTAAAAAAAAAAACTCTTTTGATCTTGTTTACAAGGCATTTCAAGCATACTTTGCACAAGAAAAAAAATCTTAAACTGTATTAAATCTTTATTGAAATATAATAACTTTTCAACTTTTCTCTTATTTAACATATACACCTTTAAAAAAAATATTTACACTGTAATAAATAAAGGATAAAATAGTCCATTTATGCTAAAAATTTAATGAAGTGACTTATAAATAGGATTAAGAAAAACTTTCTCTATCATAACTTCTCTATTTTATCTCTAACAAGTTTATTGTTTCTAACAACATTCTCCTCCAAAGAACTATAAATATCACCGCATTTTAAGTTAATAGGTATCAGACTAGCACTTTCATTGATTCTACGTTCATTGTTTTATCTATTATGTCAAAAAGTTCTCTTAGTTTTTTCCTCGTAACTTCAAAGTGGTTTCTACTCCATGTGAGAGATCTGATCTTTTGATCACTGTTATTCAATTTCATCTGAGAGTTCCTAAGGTGTTGTAATCTTGAAAGAGATTGATAGTGTTGCAATCTGGAAGTTTAAAGTGAAAGACTTGAAATTAAGTCTTGAGATTGTGGTGATATACAAGTGCCCAATTTAATCTCAGAAGGTTTCTGTAGATTGGAAGTAGGTTCAAGGAAAGAGTTAAATCAGGATAAATCTTTGCTTGCATGATATCTTCTCTAATCTCTTTACATTTCTAGCATACTTATCTTATACTTTGTTTTTCCAAATTGCTTCTGCTGTCAATTGTTCTATTAAGTTTTCAAGTTTGCAAAAAATTTATTTGTCACTTTGTTCACCTTGTCATAGGTACTAGCCTATACTAACATTTGATTTTCTAACCTTATAATTCCTTCCGTATTTAATATAAAAAGCTAGTTTGACATTCAATTTAGTTATAAATATAAGATTTCAGTTCATTTTCTTTAATATTTATTTATTTTTTCTCAAGTAATTCTTATAATAGTTGCATATGTTAAGGAGTTAATAATTACATATAATTAATAAGGATATTTTACAGAAGATAAAATCTATTTACTACAAATAACTAACTTTCTTAATCTCTCCAAATTAAT